GGTCTTCTTCATCGGAGGAGTAATAAGGACGCGCAGCACGGGGAGGCGGAGGTTCACTGTAGGCGCCACCACGACGGTTGAGGCGTACGGGTAGCTGTCGCGCAGGCGGATCAACGTAATTGCCAGGCATGGGAGGTCGTGTAGTGAGTTTGTTAGAGTTGGGAGGCATACGCGGAGGGTACAAATACGATAGGCGGGGAGTGGGGGCAGTAGAAAGTCATCCACCGTGGAAGAGGCGGGGGGAAGTGGTATGTAGTTATGTTGAGGTGGGAACTGTGGTTGAATGATGAGTGCTGTGGAGGTAGGCCGAGTGTGGGCATTAGGCGTAGAGGAAGGTGGAGGACGTATCATTGTGGTTGAGGTAGGCGGAATAGATGCCTTGGTAGTTGAGGATTGAGAAGTGGGATTTTTGCCACGTCTGTAGTGAGGGGAGAACATTGCGGGTGACATAGCGTTGTGTTATAGTCACATCTAGAATAAGGGTAGTACATAACTGAACATAGAAAGGCGTTCGCGTTTCGCAGGCGGTGCCGAAGAAAGACGGAGGAAGGATGAAAGATTTGAGTGGTGTTCCATCCAGCAGATGGACGTGATGGTGAAGTGCGACGTTTAGGAGGCGATGAACGAACACAACGGGTGGGTGACGAAAGGCGAGGATAGGCGGAGGATGGAGGATATATGGGGGGGCTACGACTTGCGTGGGAATAGTTGGTAGTAGATAATGGGGTGGAAAGGCGTTGGTGAGCTCGAGATGAGCGACCGGAGAAACGACCTCGCTGTAAGGAGCGTGCAGGCGATCGACGAGTAGAAGTTCGGGGAGGCGGTCGAGAGTCGTCACGATGGCGCTTGGGATAGCTGCTGTTGGGACCCTGATCGTTCCCATGGTTGTCGTCATAGTCGTCGCGGTCACGGCGATGATGCTGCGTATGTTCGTCAATGATCTTGCGAGACGACGCGCGTTTCCGACGGCAGTATGTATCAACAACGTGCTTGGGGACGCCGGCACGAATGCGGTTTCGACTGTCATCGTCGCGCATGGTGCGGCAGTCGGGAAGGCAGTGTTCAGGCGAGCCACAATAGAAGCAGGAATTGAAAGGATAGTTGTGACAGTTTGAGTGTGCCCAACGTGGCAGTGACTCGTAAGAGGGGGCAGCAGCAGTATAGGTAGGCTGAGGTTGGGTAGTAGAAGGTGTAGCATACAAGGCGGTTGGAGGCGTAGTGTAGGTGGCAGCAGAAGCAACTTGGCGTCGACGGGATTCGGAGTCACCGGAGCCTTGATCCGAGAGGATGAGATTGCAGCGAGAGGCGATGTTTACGATGTGGCGAATAGTAGCCTTGATGGCAGTAGGCGTGCATTCAGAGCCATCCTCGCGAGCCTTGAATTGGAGCTGGAAAACGGCGTCCCACACGTCTTTGTTGGCGGCAAATGCGTTAGAGTAGAAGAGCATGCGAAAGAGCTCAAAAGTCTTCATGTGACATTCGCGGGCCGTGAGAGCGTCGGCATTCGCAGGGAGAGTTGCCGTTTCGATCAAGTTGATCTGATCGTCGAGAGTAGTGAAGAGGGTCTCGGCACTGATGTCTCACTGTACTTGAGTTGGGTGAGGCTCGCAAACAGGATCATGGGGTCACGGGTGCCAGCTACATGGCGCACCATAAGAGCGGCCCAGAGAGAGAAGGGAGATGTGTGCGATCCGATGACTTGTTGGAGGATAGGCGTGAGGGAGTTGTAAAGAAAAGCCTTAGCTTGGATGCGTAGGGCAGCAAGGGACTCCGCGATATACTCATCCAGAAACTTGCGCGTGAAGTCTTTTTCGAGGCGTTTCACTGTTGCAAGGCGCTGTTCCAAGGCGTCACCAGCATAACCGTCGGTGGAGTACTTCACATCGTTTCGGATCTTGTCCACCTGGAGCTTGGCCTGGCTGATAGTGTAGACGTCGGTTTCGATGCGCGTAGGGCAATAGGTCTCGTTGGTGTAAAGGGAGAAGAAGCCTGCGATCACGGCCGCTTCTTCAAAAGTGGTGCGCCACGCAGCATAGAACTTGTAGGCGTAGTCGCGAAGAATGCCGGAGTAGATGGTACCACTCTGGTCCATGAAAAGAGTCCCATTTGCTTCAGTGTGACGCCATTCGTGTGTTTTTTTTAGTTTAATGGATGTGATTGGTGCATTTGAAAGCCAGATATCTCCTCTTTGACTGGCTAGTCGACGTTTCTCTTAACTCGTTTTGGTGCTGGAGATACAAGCGTGACAGTGTGCAACTTCATCTTTTTTAGAGAAAATCACCCGCTGAGCTTTCAATATCACTTCAATCTGATGTACTCGAAGCTCTAAAGACTTGTCTAGCCTACACAGAGCAGCCACACGTGCTTGCGAGCATCAAAGACTTTACTGTGAGCTAGTTGCGCCTTGTGTCGTTATGCTAGTGTCAATCACCACACCATGCCGATACAATGGCCAGGACGACCCTATCCAAGGTTTGCTCTCTGATATAGCACGCAACAGTATAGAGCTACAGTTTATCTATTGAAGTTGTCCGTTCATTCGGCGTGTGCACAGACTTACAGCTCTCTCTCCATGGCCGGCGGCTGATTTTGGGGTATACACCTCTATGTATCAATAAGATTATGTATTTATAGAGTTATTTTCTCAGAACTTTGCCAATTTCCATAATTTAAACAAGTCAAAACATATGGGACTCTTTTCATGGACCAGAGTAGTAATGGTTTGTTTGGCAGTCATCTAAAGGAAGGACGAGAAAACGATTCATTTCACTCCACGACGCATCACCACAGTCGAACGCTGCCAACCTGATAGCGGACGTATTGCGCTGACCGACAGTCTCTTTGATTATAGGCTCAAGTGTGAGCTCGTACAACGAGGTTGAGTGCGCCCCCACCTCTGGTTGTGGGCTTGGACGTGGGCTTTGTGAGGACATCGTGTTCCTCGCGGGAGTGTCTGTAACGTCCATGGTGGGTGTCCACGTGTATGAGTTGTGTCACAAAGTAGGAAACAGGAGGTAGGTGTAGGCATTAGGCGTGTAGCAACTTTGCGCAGAGTGTCCAAGACAAACCAAGTATGTGGGACAGGGGAAAACGAAAAGTGACATTCAGTCGTTTACAAACTATCTAGCTTCGTTCCTATTGGCTAAAAATCAGCCAAAAGGAAACACTGACGTGTGAGAATCAGCGCTCTTATCCTTGTGCTAGAGCCGTGAT